AAACAATCTCTTATCTATTATATTTTACAGTTCAAACTTTCACAAATGCGATATTGCAAATGTATAAAAATTCCAGTAGTAAAACAGCTAGTAGTATTAGTATATGACGTAGAATTAATTTGTCGAATCGACATGGATTTGCCAGATTCTCCAGCATTTTATCGAGAAACAATGACAGTTGCGTCGATGCGTTAGACATGATTACACGGCTCGCCGCTGCGAAGATCACGGGAGCCGTAGAGCGCGAATCTCTTAATTAACGATTTTACTCGACTCGTTGCACATTATTTCCTCCGTCTAAATTGCCGGGCGAGTTCTCGGTTCGACGCGCCGGTATTTTAACTTCTTTATCGCTCCAGCTGATCTTCCAGTGGTTTCGTCTCGTGGCGAAGCCATCCGAACCAGGCAAACGAAAATGGAACGATCCATGAGTAGAGCCGACTGCTCGCGACACAGCACGGAATAATGAAAGACTTTCCCGCTAAAAAGGCTTTTACGAACTACGACCGTTCGTACTCTACTTCTTATTTTTCCGCCCTCGTGCATCTTTTGTCAAAAAAATTGTTACACCTGGAAAGAGGATGGCGAAAAATATTGTCAATAATGATGATACAAGTTAATGACATCGATGCAATGTTTATAATAATTTCACTTCAAAGAGCACTTGTCGATTTCGTAAGTGTTTGCAGTGATTTGTAAAACTATTTAGCTTAAATTATATAATCGACGTTTTATCAGTGCTATGTTTGTGCTTTATTTTTCACTTGTAAAATTGAGAGTGCTTCTGAAAAATTTATCAATTCAACAAGAAATAAACTTTTGCCTATGAACTTCTAAATTTTACCAGCTAAGTATAAGATTCACATTTACAAGTATTTATAAAATCGTACAATAATATAAAATTATGCTACCGTGTCTTTGTAATGACATTTCTTTCCCAGATGTTCTTGAGAGATCATAAATATCTTTCTTACTTTTTATGACAATATTTCACGTAGAAGAAGTTTATGATAGAAGATAGAGTTTTCTTTTATCAAAATTACATTTCCTTCGTTCTTCTTTTTACTTCCAGTATGAAATATTTAAGAGAATTATCCTAATTGATGTGAAGCAAAAATCATATCAAATTGCACATTTACTACGTGCGGTATGCTATGAAAGGAAAAGGAGCCAATAAAAATGATAATGAACGAGAAACAAATTTACTTTCACGCCGGCTAGACGACTTTGCTATTTATACGTACAGATTGACATGAATATTAATGGTAAGCATCATTTACCTGTATCGATCGTTATAATTTTCTCAATAATTCAACAGCAATAAGATTGGCCTGATAAAAAAAAAAAATTAATATTAAAGAGCTGTCGATGAAAACGACAGTGACAGTATTAAAAAATTATACTTTCAGAAATATTCAATAACGTTAACTTCTTGATATACGTTTCCTTAATTTTATTCACCACGTTCCAGCATCAAGGTGACGTCACAACGAGTTAGTGATCCACAGGTATATCCTTATATGGGATTACTACGTCTGCGGTTTTTCTGGCAATTTTTATTTTCAAGTCAACTTCATCTGGGTATCTAAATATGACTACAAGACAAAACTTTGAAACTGAAGTTAATAAAAAATGTAAACTTATAAAAAAAGAAACATTTGTTGTCTGTAACTATCATTGAACTAATAAGATCATTTAACTTTATGTAACAACAGTATTAGATATTCATAATAGAGTAAAGAAATTATTAGATAAGAGATAGAAAGTTTCCATAAACTGGAACAAAATATTTACAATGCTTTTCTTCACTATCTTTTATCGCAAATAATTCCAACTCTTCTGCCCTGTATCTTGTGTAAGCTGTAGAATAATTTTTCCAATATATATATTCGTGGCTTAATTGTTTAGACAACGATCGTTACAGGAAACTTTTATCTGGAAGGCGTATCTATCGGTAATTTAACAAAGGTGTATTTATTCAATGAAGTCAGGGCAAACCCCACTTAAGGATACTCAATATTCAGGTCAATATCCATAACAGGTATACCTTGCCGCCGATCGATCCGGAGACCGTTCATTTCATCATTTTAAAAAATTCTCGATCCCCGAAATTACGTATAACATTCGACGCTTGCAGCTTCTAATAAAATACTTATTTAACTTCCAACCACCATCTTCTTCTTTATTATAAATTTATAAGTACAATTTCCTCTTCATTTCTCTTATATCAAATTATGGCCAAAAATAATTTGTATAAAATAAACCTCTCTCTCTCTCTCTCTCTCTCTCTCTCTCTCTCT